ATACATCTATGAATCTACGTACATACATCTATCTTTGGTTACTCACACATGTTTGTTTGAAATGACAATGCAAAACTTCTAACGGCTGGTGACGGAAAATTGAGACTTCATTTTAAAAAACTTTTAAAAAATCTTTTAACGGTAGTCTATGCTACTTTTAGTGATTTTTCTGTGAAATGAGAATCTGTGATTTAGAAAAAAAAAATACTAATAATAAGAAATCAGGGCTAAAAGCAACATCGTTTGTGCTAGTAGGAAAGGATATTTGAGCAACGTGGCGTATGAGTAACACACAATTTGATTCATATTAAAATTGGTAATTCACAAGCAAAGATATCGCAGTGAAATAATCTTAAAATCTTTAACCTTGAAAATATCTTTTTTATTTTTTTGTATACGTAAACAGCACACGTCGTCAACTCGTCGATACGAAGAAAGTACTTCTAGGCAGCTGCTACCCTTGATAGCAAAGAGTTATAGCGTTTTCTTTTCTCAAAAAAAGTTCTGCCCTTTTATATGGGAACTCTTGCTTTGCGTTGCCCTGAAACCTAAGAAAATGTTGCGTTCTTTATATGAGAATGAAACAGAAAATATTCCATCACAATTTATTTATTGAACTTAATAAAGCTGAATTATTCACTTGGCCTGTAAGTCTTTAACAATTTTAAAGCAAAACACTTATTTCTGATAGGGAAAATAATTGCATTTTTACAAGATTAAATTAAAAATCAACCATGCAACTCTCACCCTCACGTTTATTTGAGGGCAGAAAAGGGCTGAGAAAAGAACATGAAAATGTGACAGCGCTAACACAAGGCAGAATAAGTGCAGCCTTTTTTCGAGAAAAGAAAACGCTATTAGTTACAGTTTGGCACTATTGAACCGTTGTTTCCATACTTCCTACGTGCTTCATTTGACTTTTTGAATTTTATTTTATTTCTCGCATTTTTTCCTGGTCAGATGCCTAGATCGCAAACTTAAAAATATTTTTTGAGTTAATAAATAATATGCAATACATTTCAAAAAATAGTGTTATACAAAATGGTATTTTTTTATACATGGCATATGAAACAGGAATCTAGGAGCGCTAGACACAATTAAGTGTATTTTGTTACAGCTGCTGGTCTCTAGAGCGTAAGAAAAAATATTCTGCTTTTTTTAAATATCATTGGTTCGTGTGAAATATGATGAATTAAACAAATAAATGTACAAATTTTACATTTCTCCTTCTCTTGCAAGGCCCAATAAATAGGCAGGATTTATACTCCAGAGCAGTGGTGTCCAACGTCGGTGTATTCACTTTTTGCAATTGTGTTTAGTCCACCAGCTCTTTTCGTCAACCAGTACGCTGACTTAATAAGAGTTTGAAGCTTTCAAATAAATTTTAATGTTTCATTAAAACTAATTTCAGCCTCCTTCCCTGCATATATTTAAAAGTACAGAAAGCGTATCTTGCTCGCGAGCATACTGTGTGGACACCTCTGCTCCAGAGTGAAGCGAACATTCCAACAACTGGTTTTCAATTCATCTTGACAATTTAGAATTTTTATGGAAAGTAGCAAACAATAATTGACAATTTGGAGACCAAATAAATTTAAAAAAAAAGTTAAATCAGCTGCTCTAGTGATGCAATTGCTACCTATTCAATATGTCTCGAGCTATGCGCTTTCACTTAAGGCGGCGATAGCGGCAGCATAAAAACAAAAATCTACACTACAGAACACATCATTTCAGAACATTATTTTGACAGTCAGCACAATTCGCCTTAAAATCAGCTGATGCGGTAATACCACCTTGTTTTCATCAATTCTGTCCCGCTTACAGTTACAGGTCTTCATTAATTTTTTAAGACAACCTAAGCTTAATATCCAGTCAAGGGAAAAGAGTAATAACTGAGTACAAAATCAGCTAATTTTGCATTTAAGTTTCAGCGCCTTTTGACGCCCCTAAAATTTGTGAAAGCCTAGTAAACCTCGTAAATTTACGAGAATCGTAAAAGAACCCTTTTCAACCTGTCAAACAGTCACTTTAAGCACCTACATGTTTACACATTTGCAAAAGGGGGTCGTTCCCGTAACAGACTCGTAAACTTACGAGTTTTACACAATTTAGGAGTTTAGGGAAATACCCTAATTTTTTGTAAATACACAATGCTTTGATTGATCTATGGCTTCCATAGAATCTGCTCACAACTGTCTATATTTAATTACGAAATGTTTACATTGAATTCATTTATGTACTATGTGCATGTAACAGTGGCGGATCCAGCGGGTGGGGGGTCATGGGGGTTAAATATTATATAATTAAATATTATATATACATATTCGCCATATTAAAATACCCTCGTGGGCCCGCCACTGACTGATACGTAGTTTAACCCCCATGACCCGCCGCCAGCTGGATCCGCCACTGGCATGTAAGAATATCGTCGTTTAAAGCCTTATCCATTTATACCAAAATATCTATATTTAGATATGAAAGACAGAGATGATTTGGTATAAAAAGAGAACTGTTTTGAAATATGACAGGTTTTTTTTTCTCTCCTGTAGCATTTTGGCACCTTCACATATGTACGAGGTTTTGCATTATTTTAAGCGACGATATGTATGAACATACATATGTACACTGGCCTTCCAGCTGGGTTTAAGCTATAGAAAATCACTTAAACAATATGGAACAATGATTGCTTAGTTATAGTAATTAGTAAAGCGTTTTTTGTTTTATTATTGAGTATTTGGATTACAAAGCGGAAATATTGCCAATTGCTCAGACTTCACAACACGAAGAATTCTCAATAAATTCGCTTTGCAAAACTAAGTTTTAATTATTTTTTCATTACCAAGTCATGAGTAAGCTAAAATGAACATCATAATTTTCAAGCCATGCAATAATGACTTGCAAATTTAAATTTACGCTTAATCATCGATGCCTGCCTGCATTCATACAACTGTAGACAAAAAACCAAATGATTCATATGAATTTTCCTCTCAAAAATATCGAAATTTGAGCTGTAATGCAGTGCAAGCATTTGTGTGATGTTGTCACTTTCAAGATTTGCATAAAATTGCGCTAAACGGACAACACTTTCGAAACACGTTTGGTGAACGCGTGTTTAAGGAAATCAGCTGCGGTTCACAAACTTATCTAATATTACAGCTGTGAGGCAGTTAAAGCCATTTGAATTGTGGCCGGCATTGACAAGTGCATTTAAATAGTATTTAATAAATACTAAACCGTTGTGTGTGTGTGTGTGTGTGTGTGTGTGATTAATGCATCATAAAAATTGTTAGCATGCTTTGTTTGCTACGAGCATTGCTTACAAAAGTGATCGTTTGGCATTGAACTTGGAAACAAGTAATTTTTGTAACATCAACTTTCTTAGTGCAGGTGCATATGTAGTGTATGTGCATTAGGGTGGTCCAAAAATGCATGTGATAAGGTAAGGTTGGAATTTTAATGCTCTCACCGCCTAGGATTGTTCTATATCGACAAAA